TCTAAGCGAGAGGAGACTATACTCAGTTAGGATTGAGACGGATTGTGCAAGCCTGATTTCTATGACCACGGATCCACTTGATTGGCCATCTTTCAGTGTAGAACTTGACTGGTTCACTATGCTTAGACAATCATTTGTATATTTTAGTTTAGTTCATATCCCACGTATTAGTAATGTCCGGACCGACTCACTTGCAAAGGGAATTCGAGTACGAGGTTACAACACATTTCTCGCATCTACCTCATAATCTAATTCCGTAACACTTTAAAAGCTCAAAAAAAAAAACTTGAACCCGAAAGAAGAGAAACAAAAATACTAACCGCCCATCCATTCACGATCCCGGCAAAGCTCGCCGGTCCCAATTATTTTTTTTGAAAGAATAAAAAATAAATAAAATAATTGTACAAGAAGGAAAAATTAAACAAAATCCAGAGATAGAAGAAAGTGTTTTTGTCACAAAAGAGCCCCCAAAAGATCAGGTAATGTGATTTTCCCCAAACTATTAGGATCAAGTTTATCAAACTGATTAACAACTTTGTTAATATCTATATCACGGATCTTCCCCATTTCTTTAAGCTTCACCACAATATACTCTGATTTACTGAGAAACACCAAAATCAAAATCCAAACAAAAATGGTCAGAAGATTAATCACTCTACACTCAAGTCCTAAAATCATTAGATCATAAGATAAACACAGATACAATAATTTTAATCCCCCACCTTAATAGTTACTTGCAAGTAAAAGTCTTAAGATTAACATTGACTAATCACTTTTAACATAAAATTTACTCTATCCTTAAAGTTATTTACCCAAATAGCTAAAAATCCAATTTTCATCCTCAATGATCGGTTAGTTCTCCTAATTCCATAAACCCATTACCACAAACAGCTTAAATTCACTCTTAAGCCTAAGCAAATGATCCAAGATTAACGAAAAAAATCCAAACTTTTTCAAAAACAAAACATTGGAAAAATAAAAGTTTCAGTTTATAACCTGATGAAACCATGTTTATAGGTATCAGCCGCGAGCAAATCCTCCACGGTGATTTCTCTATCCAACGCCGACTTCACAGCTTTCCGATTCCCGCGATCGATTCTCAACGCCGCCAAATACAAAAACGGACGCAACACCGCGAGAGTCGAAACTAGAATCCAAACCGCCGCGAAAAGCCCCCCTTGGACCGTCTTGAAACCACCGTAACCAACCGTCGTCACCGACATAACCGATACGTAAACCGAATCAACGAACTCCAATCCCTCGACGAAATGAAGAACCAAAGCACCGATTCCGACACACAAAACGACGACGCATAGAGCTAAACCAACTCTCGTCGTCATCTTCATATTTCCGTTTTCGAGATCGATTATGTAATAATTCTTTCGCATTCCGGAGAGAATCAAACTCTCTTGAAGATCAAGAACGTGATTAACAAGACCGTTAAGAATAAACAAAACCAAAAATCCGAACAAGACGACAAACAGAGCGAAGATCTTGGTCGATGGAGTCAACGGAGAGATGTCTCCGTAACCGACTGTACACATTGTGACGATAGAGAAATAGAGAGCGTCGACTAAAGGATGAGTCTTGATTCCAGAGTATTGATCTTGGTTGAAGAAATAGATTGAAACACAAAAGGTTAAGTAGATGATTAGTAGGAGGATCGATATGGAGATTGGTGAAAGGTTTTTATTAGTGGTTTTTGTGGTTTTGGGTATTATTAGGTCTTTGATGATTACCATGTCTGGTGGAGCTGTACCATATCTGTGAAGAGGTGGAGGAGGATTGGTGAAATAGAAATCTTTGTCTTTTCCGGTAGGGGTTGGAGGCGAGGATTGATTAAGGGTTGATGATGATTCTCCATTTCCCAAGAAACGAGGAATCTCAAAGCTCCGGAAATTTGAGTTGAGATTTGAGATTCTGTTTTCTCTTTGGCTAACGGAAATTCCGAAACAAG